CTAGAGCTACAACATGCTTAGTACAACCTTTTCATATATCTGCAATGTCGTAACCAATCAGTTGGTCAAGCTACAGGCTTGCCTGAAGGACATAAAGTTCCTGTGCATCAGTCGGACATGTATGTCTGCAAGAAACAGCTTCTCCTTCTACTAGTATGTATACAATCCGCTACTTTCATGTTCGTGTACTATCAGCTACCTGTCGCAGCAGAACAATGTTGAAGTCATTGCGCTCTGTTTTTGGTATATTCTTTCTGATGTATAGAACACTGCACATTAAAAATGATTAGCAGTAAAATTCAAAAATATTCACAGCTGCCAGTGTTTGTGTGTCATCTTTAACTTACTTTAGTATCACATGTTCCCTCAGCGACATTTTTCAGTTACAAGTTTAAAAAAAAAAAAAAATTAAAATCAATTTTATATATATATATATATATATATATATATATATACATATATTTTCTGAAGAATCAAACAGGTACAAACTCCATTTTTAGATGAGTAAATACATATTTATCCTGGATGGATATGAACAAGGTGGGGCTTCTGTAAAGATGGTGACAAAACATTCTGTAGGGTGGCCTGTAATTACTCCGCTAATTTCATTAAGTGACCTAAATTTTAATCAAGCTTTTAATCAATTAAAAAAGACACTTGAATTTAAATTACACACAAATTAAAGCGGTGGAATGACCAAAATGTAGTAGTGAAGCATATCAGCAGCAATATAATATATAGAATATTGGATGCATTTTAACTTTTACTTCCTCTTTTTTATTTGTGATATGTGCAGGTAGATTACTTCAATGTTGTTGTTTTTTTAATAGAAGGACAAGCACTACAAATTAGCACAACCTGTTATTCCTATTGTATGCAGCATTTGTGTATTCGGTGAATTTCCTATCCCGTGTATTCACTCGTAATCACATAACCAGTAGTATATTCATAATAAGTATATACATAAGTATTCACAGAATTGGCTCAGTGTTTTGTTGATACACCTTTGGCAGCAATTACAGCCTCAAGTCTTTTTGAATATGATGCCACAAGCTTGGCACACCTATCTTTGGGCAGTTTTGCCCATTCCTCTTTGCAGAACCTCTCAAGCTCCATCAGGTTGGATGGGAAGTGTCAGTGCACAGCCATCTTCAGATCTCTCCAGAGATGTTCAATTGGATTCAGGTCTGGGCTCTGGCTGGGCCACTCAAGGACGTTCACAGAGTTGTCCTGAAGCCACTCTTTTGAGATCTTGGCTGTGTGCTCATGGTTGTTGTCCTGCTGAAAGATGAACCGTCGCCCCAGTCTGAGGTCCAGAGTGCTCTGGAGCAGGTTTTCATCCAGGATGTCTCTGTACATTGCTGCATTCATCTTTCCCTCAATCCTGACTAGTCTCCCAGTTCCTGCTGCTGAAGAACATCCCCACAGCATGATGCTCCCACCACCATGCTTCACTGTAGGGATGGTATTGGCCTGGTGATGGGCGGTGCCTGGTTTTCTCCAAACATGACGCCTGGCATTCAAGCCGAAGAGTTCAATCTTTGTCTCATCAGACCAGAGAATTTTGTTTCTCATGGTCTGAGAGTCCTTCAGGTGGATTTTGGCAAATTTTAGGTGGGCTACCATGTGCCTTTTACTAAGGAGTGGCTTCCATCTGGCCACTCTACTATGGAGGCCTGATTGATGGATTGCTGCAGAGATGGTTGTCCTTCTGGAAGGTTCTCCTCTCTCCACAGAGGAACGCTGTAGTGACCATCGGGTTCTTGGTCACCTCTCTGACTAAGGCCCTTCTCCCCTTATCACTCAGTTTAGATGGCCGGCCAGCTCCAGGAAGAGTCCTGGTGGCTCCAAA